ACTACTACTACAACTACTACTGTTACTGCGAGGACTTCTACTTCTTTCCGTGCACTGTTATTCATGAACCCTTGCTTCTGCTGTGCCAGGTGTACCTGGTTCATGGAGATCAAGAGCGACTCTCCCTGGTGCCCTGAATGTGTTGACTTGCACTGTGGCTCCGCTACAGCTCCAAGCAGCGACAGAAAGCATTACCCTCAGCACAGAACAAGTGTACTTACCCCTTTGCCTGAGTGGCTGCTGCTGCTGCTGCCTCTGCCACTGCTGCTGCTGCTGCTGCTGCTTCTTCTGCTACTTCCGCCCATAGTGTCGCTGTGCAGTGGTTGTTGAAGTGGCCACTACAACGACTCTAAGCCTTTCCTAGTTTGTATGATCGCTTTGACATCGTGTACGGCTTCATCTTTGTCACCATCGCCGTCAGCATGTTCAGTAGTTTATCACGGCAGACGATTATCGCCTGCAGCATCCACCTTTTCTACGTCAATGTAGTCACGGTCTTCCTCCTTGTCTTCAACGCTAAACCCCAGCAGCCCTAGCCCTGGACCGGTGCAGGTACCTCTCCTGGACTTGATCAGCCACTGGACCCCCTCGGAGGCGACGGCCGAGCCCCTCGGTCCGATTAGCAGTGCCGAATGTGTTAAGTAGCGCTCCTATTATTACGTCGCCTCGACAATCTGCAGACCCTTGGCCGATGAGACCGTCACGGATGCAGGGCATCAATGGTGTAACTAACAGAACACACGCGATGAGAGTGTTCCAGTGTAATGATGGTATCACCTTGAAGTCCCAATCGGTTCACAGCGCAGGCCTGTTTGCCGTCCAGCTTTGATGCTACCAGAACTTTGCACTCGTTCGTTTCAGGGCCTGGTCCTGCTTCTACGAGCTGCGATCGGATGCAGTGGAAGTGATTGCCGAAGCATGGCTGCTTTGGAACACCGAAATCCCACAGTGAGACCGAAACCCTTGCAGAAAGCCGGTCTTGAGAGCTCAATCCAAGGAAAGGTCCATCGCCCGCGGCGAGGCCAGGCAGCCTGACGTCATCTTGCATCTGGTTGTGCTAGTAAGGAGAAAGCATGCTGGCTGTATGTGAGTTTCAAGTTCTCAACTGGCCCCTCCGTGCATGGTATCATCGTTTGTTTTGCGTGCGTAGTTTCATCTAAAACCTACTTTATGTATCTATATGTATTTTATCACTCTTCGTCAAGGTTTCGACGGCCTCACCCTCTAGATGTTGAATGGCGAGATTTCTCATCATCGCGTGTAAGTCATTGGGCGGTTTGGGCTTGTCTCGGCCTTTGACAACCGTCTCGTGCACTTCCCCCCACCGGATACTTGAATCAACATCTCGGTTACGCCTCTCGAATCCCAAACCGTCCTTAAAGGAACGAACAATGCCTATGGACTGAAGAGGAGCTCACTTTACTTTTCGGCCACTTCTCGGATGCCGAGCTCCTCTGCAGCTATGGCATTCCTGCTGGCGCACCGGCCAGGCCTTCGGAATGGCAACCGAATGTTGAGAAATATGCACTTGTTAAATTTGACATATTGTCACTTCTGATGGCAGCTAAGGTAAGGACAGGAGCTGTTGTTGCAAATCTTGCTGCGAGTGTGAGTAGTAGTTTCGGTGATGGCAGTGGCTCTAGCATTACGGTGACGACTACCACTACCCAGCACCACCACCACCGCAACCGCAAACAGCAGCAGCAGCAGCAGTGGCGGCACCACCACCACCACCACTACCACCGGCACCACCACCACTCCCACCACCACCACCACCACCACCAGCAGCAGCAGCAGCAACAGCAACAGCAACAGCAACAGCAACAGCAACAGCAACAGCAACAGCAACAGCAACACACACACACACAACTTGCTTCTACTTCTACTGCTACTACTCCTGCTACTACTCCTACTATTATTACTACTACTACTACTACGACGACGACGACTACTACTACTCCTACTGCTGCTGCTGCTGCTGCTGCTACTACTACTACTACTACTACTACTACTACTACTGCGACGCCTACGCCTACTACTACTACTACTACTACTACTACTACTACTGCTACTACTACTACTACTACCACCACTACTACTACTACTACTACTACTACTACTGTGACGCCTACGCCTACTACTACTACTACTACTACTACTACTACGACTCTGATCACGACTGTTCCATCACCATTGGTAGTAGTACTGGGTTGTGTGCTGCGACTAAATTTCTTTGATAGCGGAGTGTGAACAAAGATCCAATGTTTTTAAGTCGAAGATCCATTTAACCGAAGTTGCGGGGGGGCAGCCGCCGTCGCATACACGTTGACGCAATTGCTGCCACGTGCTCCACTTTGGTTCACCAGCTGCCACCGGAGACCTGGTTGATGATTGATGTCGTCAGCTTGGTATGGCGAAAATGTTGACAACATTGCTCACTTGCAGGAATGCCTTCGATGAAGCTGGGGTCGCCATTGGCCCATATGCCACTTCGGAGTTAACAGACCTCTGGTTGTGGTCTTGGTTTCGGGGGCAGGGTTTCAGGTTTTATTGCCTTGAACGGTTGGAGGGTTCAGGACGTAGGCAACTACACGATGCCCCAGTCCGCTGAAGTGCTCAGACCCTGAGAGGGCTTTAGGGCCCAGGGGCCTGAAGGACTAGGCGTGCAGAGTTTTCCTGGATTGGTATATGTACCTGGTATATAGCATGCCGAGCGACAGTGACATTGTTGGTCACATTGGCGCAAAGGGAGAGTGTGTGACGCTTCGGAAAACGGCGCAACAAGCCTAAACTTAAAACTTAAAGCCGTTGTGTGCGCCCTCAAAGCCTTGAGCCCTTAAGCCCCTAGGTTTCGGGGGCTTTCTGGCTCCTTTACGAGTTCCTTTGAGCCTTCCTTTAAGGCTTTCTTAAGTGTTTGATCGGGTGTTTATGGACTCAGGTTCTCATGTCGCCTCCGGATCCGGAGCAGCCAAGGCCAGGACCGCCGCCGGGTCACGAAACCGTCTCATAGGGCCCAAAACGGGGCTGACGGAAGGGGTTCAGCGTTTTGGGGTTGAGGGCTGTGGTTTAGAGGGGTTAGGGTTGAGGGTACCGAGGACTGCTGGGAAGAGCTTCTGGAGTCATCATTGAGTCATACCAGGCCTTCCAAGAGGCCCTGTCCGCATGTTACAACTCTGTTTGGTTCCCCCAGTGCACGTGTCTGCATCAGCCAGCTAGCTACCGATTTACCAGCCTTACATACAGACATTCGTACGCATAGCACCTGGGCAAAACATGTGTGTGTGTGTGTTTCAGCTTTCACCCTGATATCTATTGTGGCGCCGTCTGCGTACACGTTTGTACATCCACTTGGCTTATTTCGCCGAGTCTTGAGCATGACATGGCTGAAGGGATCTCGAACCCCACTCTCCCCGGGCAATACGCAGCGCAAGCCCTCAGACGATACGTTGAAACCCAGACTGGGTAGATGAACATCACATGGCCGATGACTGTGGACGTCGGCATTGCAAGCAGCTTTGGGAAGCCTAAATCTTGACCATGACAAATTTCCTCGCAGCCAAACACCGCAGGCCTCCAGATCCATCACTTGTGTCTGCGCGGGCGGCTGCTTGGGCGTGAAATGGGATCATTTACACTGAACGACAAGGTTTTCGATTTGGGTGCAATTTGTTTTCACCTAATTCTAAACCGCCTGCCCTGTGATTTTCCCCGATCCTCCATCTAAGTTGTAGTATTGGGGTTTTCAGCCCTGTTTGGCTCAATCCCGCCGCACCCTAGACCACTTATCGTTTCCTGGATGCTCCATTGCGTCTTTGTAGAGCAGAAGGCTCTTGCCAAGATGTTCATTCGAAACCCTTGCTCCCAGTCCTACCTGTTTTCGAAAAGCAGCCAAGCAGAGCCCAGGCATGTCTGACACGACATGGCTGGTCCAGCTTGGATAGCTCCCTGCTTTTCACATTGCCGCAAGACTTGCGTCCTTCGGGTGGTCCCGTGTTTGCATTAATAAAGGCGGCGGCGAATGATGGGTTTCCGGTCTACAGTACAGAGTTTAGGGTCTGTATGGGGATACAGAAGAGAAACAGCTCACATCGAATTGGACAGCCGGACGGCTGACTGTGTTAATGAAGCGGTACTGAGAAGAGTCTATGTCCGGAAACCGATTCCGGAGCTAGGGTGCCAGTTTCCGCAGGGTGCATGTTCGCTGCTCCGATCCTGAAATCACTCAGGCCTGTCCGGCAGTCTCCCCCCAAAAGTGCCATGTCCTCAGGTATGTTGGCGTTGTCGCGAATTCTCGCACTGAAGTCTGCTGAAGAGATCACGGAGCTCCTTGGCTAGTCTGCAAAGTTGAGCCTCGAGGAGCAGACACAACCCGAGCAGCTACCAATGTTGCACCAGACTCAGAGTATACCGCTCCATTGATTTTTGGCGCAAACGCACACATGGAACTATCAAGGTGGTGCAGTTTCTCGTTAAAGAGCCGACCAAACAAGAGCATGTTCGGCCTAAATATTGCATGAGCTGCCAATCCCTAGGATGGAAGACGTGATCTTCTGGATGGACACGCCAGGCACGAAGACGGTGCTCCCAGCATCAACTGTTCCTCATGCTCTTAACTCTTTGCTTCTAAGCCCCGCATTTGCGTGTTTTGTCCATGCACGACTCTTGATTGTAGATTCCGCTCGCCCAGCTCCTGGACATTTGCCTCAAAGCACTGATGCCTAAGACTTGCGCTGAACTCTAGCCTGAACTGCCCAACCAAAAGTCCGGAAAGCTCTAAGCCTTCAGCTCCAAATATCCAAGTTTCGACTAGATAGGAGAGTGTTGCAAGACAGCAGACAGCATCAAAGACAAAAACGCACATCAGGTGCGGAGGCGCCGAAGCGTCTTGGCCGAGGGCTTGCTGAGCAAAGCAACTGGGATCTGAGCTTCGAAGGAATACTTCAAACGTGTCCATGTTTGCGATGTGAAACATGCGGATCACTTGTTGTGGTGGCCGTCGTCCTCTTGGTGATAATGATGACGCTGTTGCCAGTGGGACAGTAGTGCCACTGTAATGCTATCACCCATTCTCCTCCTGTTGCTGCTGCTGCTGCTGCTGCTGATACTACTACGACTACTACTACTACTACTACTACTACTACTACTACTCCTACTCCTACTCCTACTCCTACTCCTACTCCTACTCCTACTCCTACTCCTATACTCCTACTCCTATACTCCT